TATCTCCGAGTTAACGTATGCGTTTCCGACCCACTTATCCATCAAACGTTAAAAAGGAAAAAAATTTTGGATGCATAAAGTGAGGTGCCCTTATACGAATAGTCTATTAGTTAGAAAGAGAGAGTTAACATCAAACCAACGAAGGTTCTAAATCATATGCACCACCGCCACATGTGCACGTGTTGACCATTTGGGCCACCTACTTCCATACTTGTCTGTTCTTCCATACTTGACATAATTTTCTTAAGTTTCACTTAAAAATGCTGACAATCTTAAGGTATTTTCGGCGAAAGTTTATGGAATAAATTTCGAATCCTTTGTCGCTTTGTAAAAAGTTTTGAAATTCCTTTTCAGCTTCCTACTTCCATACTTGTCTGTTTATGATTTGCATTCACTTTCAATTTCGTTCGTTATTGTTCTTGACCTATCATCTCAAACACGTTCAAAGGAGCATGTACAGAAGAGGCAAAAAAACAACCCGCAAACAATTTGAAAATTTAGTAGAGTTTGTGGAGGAAAATAAAGTTTATTTTCAAGACCATTTTCCAATTGTTCTAATAAAGCTAACCTTATAAGACCACCAAAAGACATATTTTTCTTTTAAATTAAAAACAAATAATAGCTAAAAGACAAAACTACGCTCTGATTAAACACCATTGTTTTATTTATACCCCGAAGTTAACTTCGAGGGATGCACGTTAAGCGGCATTTGATGCTGTTATTCTGAAGCGCTATTTCTTCATATAACGTTCGTCGATAGCGTGCTCTTATAATATAAAGGTTTTACTGATACAACACACCAGTTAGAGCCACATAACGTGTTTGACGGATAACATGCACGTTAAAGTTAACGTGAGTGATACAGCACAGGGTTGAATGGCGCTAAACAGGATATGGTTTCCAGCACTCACCAACGCAAAAACAGCCAACATAATGCGCAGGCTCCAATGACAAAGGCCACGTCATCGCAACCGGTGCATAATTAAGGACTGCGCCCGAGGAATCGCATCGAAACAATGTAAGCGTTCAAGCAAACCACTTCTGAACATGCAAGCCACTCGTGCTTGCGAAACGTCAGGAAGAAATTCTACCGAACGACGGTAGAATTTCTACCTAAAAACCCGAAAACCCCATTAGTTTCAAGGAATGGCCTCGAAAGTATATCTCTTTTGATGAAACTTACATTATTGGATACTACGTGAAAAAGTGCTTTGGAAATGTTTGCGTAGAAAGTTTAAAAAAATCACAGGAAAAGAGTTAGAGGGCTTTTCGAAAAGTGCAGATTTCTGGGAAAGACGCTGTATCTCGGAAAATGTTAGAGAAATTGACATACGGTTTTCGTCATTAATTTTGCCATGCGAATCTAGGCTCATACACCGATATCATTTTTTGGTATAGAAATGAGAGTACATCTGGTATAGAAATGAGAGTTTCAATTTAAAAGTATCCAATTTGGCCCACCTTGCACACATTGAAATACATGAAAACTGTATTATTGCTTTGAAAACTTAATTAAATATCTTAATTTTCCCACATTCATAAAACATAATGCTTCGCAACTGGTTAAAGAGACAACATTTCTATTTGCCGTTTAGTTTCACATGTTATCATTAGGCATGGGTAACTCAGTGAATTTTTACGAGCTGGCGCAGTGATTCCGAAATGGCTTGATGCGTCAACACAACGCAGCAAGCACCGGCACAGTAACTCGCCGTTACTGATAAAGAATGCTGTGAAGAGTGATGTATGTGAAGAACCTTTTTTTTGTTAGGTGTCAAAATTCGAGTCCCGGGCCTCGAAAAGCTTTAATTCGCCCCTGGGTTTAATGCTCAAAGTGCGGCACAGTGAGACGCGATTAGTTATAACGAAAAACTCAGAAACGAAAAATATTTTACAAGTTCAGAGTTTTGCACTCAGCAACGAAGAGTGCGCTCTAAATGCCGTTCTTTTTTTTATTTTCAAATTTTATCATCGTTGCGCTCAGCAACTCAAGCTGTTCCTGGACTCATTTTGCATCACGTTTTTCGAAAATAAATTTCGCAGAAAGTAAAAATAATCTACAAGTTCAGAGTGGTGCGTTCAGTAAAGAATAGTGCGCTCTAAATGTCGTTAAAATGTCTTCAAACCTTTAAACATTCATTCAAATCACCTAAATACTCGTTCAGCAGTGTTAACAATTTTGAACCATCTTGTGGAATGTTTCTGTAAAGATTTCATGTTAAAAATATCATACTGCTTTTTTTGCTCGATCTGCTCGATTTTGTTAAAATATTGTTTGTAAATTAATACTAAGTAATGTATCATTAAATATATTAGGATTTTTTCATTGTGTCTTCGAAGTATTGGACCTAATTGAGCGTTTTTTTTTTATTGATTTGGCTTATTTCGTGTGCGTATTCAATTCGAACAAAAATTACTCTTTCCTTTTCCGTTAACTATTGATGTGGTGGATGATCGATCTAAAAATTGTGTCGCTATGTGCAAAAAATATCTAAATGTTAAATTCGTAATGACATCGAAGATTTCTAAGCAAAGTATCAAAAAACAGCAAAAGAATTAAAAATACGTTAATGCATGTTTGAACAACTAACTCTAAATGTAATAAATTAAGAGTTAACGATAGTTTTTCGTTTTTTAACTTCAAAATAAATCACTTTATACATCAAGTAATCACTCGATTTCCGATGTTCCCAGTTTGTATTCTTCTAGTCAGATACTAATTAATGTATTTAAGTTGTCCTTTGAAATATGCTCACTGGTAGTTTTGTTTGCTCACTCTAACTATTGTAATCCGGTTCTCTATCTGTGCACACAACTCTAAGAGCACCTTCCAACTTGCCGCATTAATCGCAAATGTTCAGGCAAAATGAGAGTCCTCTCGTATGTCTCTCGCAATACTACGCGTATAATTCATCTCGTAATTACATTGTTGTATTGTGCATGTAAAATTTTATAAAAATAGTTAGTTGAATAAGMGTTTAAATTCGAGACCGGGGTTTTAGAGATTCGTCTTTTCAATCAGATGATAGCCATTGCAGCAGTATAGAATCAGTCTTAGAACTTAGAAAGCCGGACCCAGAAGAAGTCCTGCTTGGATTAGGTTTTGGGCCTCGAAGAAATTCAAATTACATAGGAAGGATACCGGCCAGATTTTTACAACCATCTAAGGTAAAAATTAGAACATAAATGAAACCATATTTTAATTTCGAAAATCGTTGAATTATAAACGATAGTACAACAGCGTGCTGTGTGCAAACATAATCTTTTATATTACTTATACACACACTTTGAAAAGTCGTGCATCCCGAATAATTTTGTTAGTGAAAAATATTCACTTCATACAAGAATAATCTAATAAATAGTATGAATTATTTTATATTAAAATTCATTACATGGATACGTAGAATTGGATCTACTACTATCTCGTTACTATCATTGACTAGATTTTTCTTTGCTGTTTGCTGTCATTTTGATCTAATTGTCAATAAATTAAATTTCGAAAATAAATTCGATTTCATAGTTGTAAAGTAAACCTTACAGTGTTTTTGAGCTAACAGTTTTTCGCTTTATTACCTGAATGCATACTATATTATGGAAAGCAGTTTTGAGCGACACATTGGATAATTTGTTTTGTTGCTTTATAGTTAATTCCTCATATAGACATTAACAAATTCCTTGAGCGCTATGGAGAGAACTATGCAGATTTACCCCAGTAAGTTAAAACCATTCGTTAAGTTCTTATCGTCCTTAATAAATAAAGTAACTGTCTTTCTACGCTTTTGTTAATGTTAATCTCTTGATGCTTTTCCTAGAGTTTCGGATGAATATATTAATTTGGATTTAAACAAGTATGAAGTAATACCATCTAAATTTTTTAGGTCAGCGCCTCCATCTCCAGCCAAATATAGTCCAAAGTAAAATTAGAGTTCAGATTATATTAAAAAAATTAATCCATTGCCATCATATTGCTATAATCTCAACACATTACGAATTACCATTGTATTGGACATATCGAATTAGTATCTTCAACATATTATACGTCCTGAACAATTTTTTATAGGGTTATAGTAAATTTGACCACTCCAGTGGGGGCTCATAAAGGAGCACTCTGGAAACATTTTGTCAATCCACAAATTTAAAATTTGTACATAAAAACCTGTTTCGCCTTGCTCCAAAAATATGCTTTCTTTAATTTGGACTGCCTAGAAGATAAAATGGACTTTATTACGCCATCTTGAATCTTCGAAAAGTTGATGAACGTAGCTTGTAACTAATTGTGTCGGTAATTTATTTTAGTTTAGCAGACAAGACAATAACGATATCAAAACAGTTTAACATTGTACCCTTTCAAAAAGTCAATTTGTTTATCAGCCAAGGTAAAAAAGTATGGCATGTCTTTGGCAAATATATAAATTAAAATAGTGATTTGTTATTCCAATTTTGAGGAAACTGTTAATTTTAGGAATGGTTGTTCCTAGAGAAAAATAGATACGAAGTGCTAAAATTGTGAGCCGCCACTGGACCAAAACATTCCACAAATATTGCTCATAATTGTTTAGTATCTTAAGCTCAAGTCATTCCTAGTTCCTAAACGAACATTTATACAATGTATGGAATTTACTTGCCTAAAGCATTTCGTGCAGTATGGGACAACTGTGAAAAAATCTAATGCGATGGTGCAATCAATGAATCAAAAATGTACGTTTTGAAAGTATACATGTAATATTAATTAATTAATTATCTGAGATTTATGAACATATATGTAAAGGCGGTGTTGCTTCGTTGGTAAGAAATGTGGGGCGTCTCTTTTTTTTTGGAAGGAATTTTTTTTCGAATTTCGTATCGGAAAAATACATTTTTCCCATCTTGCAATACCAATTACAACTTCAGACCAATAAAAATAGTTAGGATTATTATTAACCGTCAACATCGCCCTCGTCCGAAATGTAAATATTCTTGTTAATAAACTAGTGTTTAAATTGGACCACTAGTTACAAATGTCAATTTCTTTGAACATTATACACTTATATATATTTCTATGTATGAAATTAATAATTCAAATTGTTGCAATTGAGATATTATATTGAGAATGTTTGTAGGTTGCTCAATGTTATATAATTTATACGTATTGTTTTTTCCTGGTAAAACGGTATTTATTACATTTGATAGCAGCTTGCAATATAATTGTTATGACTAATTCTAGGGATACTGATATATCCAAATAAAAACTATATTTACCGCTAAAGGACAAGTTAATATTTGCTCAGTAATATGCTAGAATTATTGAATTTGCGATCATTTATAAAAAAAAATGCAGAGAACGAAGAAAAACTTAATGCAAAAAAGTTAGTTCTAGTCTAATATAACTCGAATGAAAATGGCAAGATCAAAGAGCATAATAAATCTATAAACATTTGTCAAAATAGTTCTTAAATGAACATTAATCTGTTCCGGGGTCCGATACGTTTTTTTATTTTAAAATTTAAGTATTGTGTGTATAAGAACTTTTTTGTCAGAAATAGTAATTTCCTCCAGCCTTTTGTCATTTTCAATTCAAAATCCTGCATATCGACAGCAACATAAGATGTGTTGTAGAAATGACCATTATGAATATTCAAACTGATTCCTCAGTGATTGTGATTCGTCAAACTTTGTAGTTAAAAAATATAGATATTTTTTCACTACAATAACTTTTATACAAACAATAATATCCATCAAAAGTAAAGAAAATGCAATTCAAAAATATTTTTAACTGTTCATCTTTAAACCCGTTGGCCGGTAAATCTCGTTTGTAATCATTCCTTTACGTTTCATATGCTAAATCTTTTCTAGATTTACATTGTATTCATTACCTTTAGTGTTTATGTGGGTTTTTATGTTAACTTCATATTATTTATATGAAATGTGAACTTGAGCCAAAAATAACATTTAGTCAAATTTGTAAGGTTCATACTTACAATTTTATTATATTAGGAATAGTTTTCCAAGTATCATTTATTTTTTATAAAAAAATATAAGCCTTGAGTAGATCTTTTAGTATTTTATTCGTTATATGGCTATATAGTGATTGAGATTATTCGAAAAGTGTATACAAAATCATTATGCATTTTATTCAGGATTTTGCAAATGCGAAGACAGCTTCCAAAACATTTGGGAGTTTTTCTGGATATAACAAGGTCTCTATAAGAGACGTCGTTCTATCCAGATAAACTCCTTGTTTCATGTGCTTTTTTTATGGTCACGCGGAATCAAATTGAATTGATAATGGCATACAATTGCCTTTCAGCCAGTACCATGACCTTAAYTTGAATTTTAGGGGTTTTATTTCAATTTAAAGATCTATACTTTGGAAAAACACCCTTTATAAATAAATATTCCACCGCTAAACATTTAATTGCATCGTTGGTGTATCAATTCTCTTTCGGTTTTTCTATATGCTTTTATATCGACTATGGGAAATATTAAAATGAAAAAAAAAAACAAGCACTATTTACTGAAAATAAAATAATCTAAAAAGTATTTTTATTAGGGAAATAATAACATGTTTCTAATAAAAACAACATAAAAAGCGGGTTAATTTCATCCGCAGTAAAGAAGTTACATGTAGTTTACAATGTACTTATTATTATAAATTTAATTAGATAAACAAACACAAACAAAACATTTTCTTTTGCAGTTTATATCATATTAAATTGTTTTTTTTTAATATATAAAAAAACATTATATTCCATTCAGTTCTCCGCAGAATCACAATCGAGTAACGGAGTTTGCGGCCTCGATAAAACCGCTGGTAAAATTTTTTCATCATGACTTACACGAAACCCTTGAGAACTTGCAGGTCTACTTGTTGGCAACTCTGCACCGGGTTCTTCGTCAGACGATAGTGGACTTTGGGGTCGTGAAGCACACGCTGGAATAATTTTATCATCGTGACTTATCGGGAATCTATCTCGACTTGTGGGTCGGCTTTTAGTTGTTTTTTCTTCAGTTGTTGATTCCTAAAGAATAAATACAAATATTTATTACGTATCCTAAGAAGTCAATTTGCACAGTCGTTATTTAGAAAATTTAAAATATATTGCTACATAGTTGAAAATGATTTGTAGCTTTTCGTAAATATTTAAAAAATATCGAAAAAAAATTTAAACTAGTACTTTTTTAACATATTGAGTGCCGAAGTAGTAAATTTGGTAATAAAGTACCTGCCTCAAATTAATTTCATTAAGAAATTCACTTTCACGTTCTGAGAGTCAAGTAGTAGTTATAACATATTTGTTGTCATAACAAATATAGCGACAGATAATTAAATTATTTCATATATTATACAAGGTGGTCATTTTCTGAATCTTTGTATGGGTAACTTCTACATTTTTAAAGATAGATAATCCGTTAAATGGGCAAAATTGGGCAGAATTCGATTRCCTATTCATTACCGTTTTCAAAATTTAGGTACTGACTTGGTTCCTGAAATACCCTGAAAAGGCAAGAAATCAACACTTTTTTAATTAKCATATAATTCGTAAACTGCTTAAATTATAAAAAARTTWAAATTGCCTTTGGTAGAAYTTTTTGCGTTGAATTCAATAAACTAGCACTGGTTGTCATAGTCAACTTGATTTACGAGATAAAAAATAAACTTATGTTTTTTTAAATGGTAATCATAGTTGGCTATATGCCTTTTAAAATCTTTATTTTCTGAATTTAACGATATAACTGTTTGTACGTTTTTCTCCTTTTGTTACCGTCAAACTTCAAATGAAGATAAAAAATGTATGGTAGGAACTATGGAAACAAAAACTATATTATCACACAAAGCACAAAACAAAAATGAAATAATTAACAGACACAATCATGATTACTGGGCTAATGAAAATCATCATCTAATTGAAAATAGGCGAGATCAACGTGTTTTTTTTGTGAATGTCTGGTGAGGCATTTTTAGTGATATTATTGGTCCATTCTTTTATAATCACAATTTAAATATGGAAATATATTTACACTTTTTACCAAATGAACTTGAAGACATGTTGAATAGTTTTCCGTTAGCATCGTATCGAAAATTGGGATATTTTCAACATGATAGTGCACCTTCACACAACTCACTAGTTGAATGTGAAGATGCCAAAAAATGTGTGGACGTAAACGGAAGTCAATTTGAACATTTAATGTAAACGATTAATTATTGTTTTGTGCTTTGTGTGATAATATAGTTCTTGTATCCATAGCCTACTACACATCATTTTTTATCTTCTTTTGACGTTTTACGGCAACAAAAGGAGAAAAACATACAAACAATTATATCGTTATATTCGGAAAAAAATAAGGATTTTAAAAGGCCCACAGCCAACTATGATTACCATTTAATAACCCATAAGTTTATTTTTTATCTCGTAAATCAAGTTGACTATGATAACGAGTGCTAGTTTATTGGATTCAGCGCAAAAAGTTGTACTAAGAGCAGTTTTAACTTTTTTTCTAAGTTAAGCAGTTTACGTAATAATTGATAATTAAAAGTGTTGATTTCTTGTTTTTTCAGGATATTTCAGGAACTCAGCCGGGTACATAAATTTTGAAAACGGTAGTGAATAAGCACTCGAATTCTGTCCAATTTTGCCCATTTAACGGATTGTCTATCTTTTAAAATATAGAAGTTACCCATACAAAGATTCAGAAAATGGCCACCCTGTATACTATGTCTAGAAGCAAAATCGAAGTGATCTTTAGAACAACGATAATTTTCGTAGTTATGTAGTAAATATATGGTAGTAAATATGTATATGATATAAGTATATCCAATATTTAAATCGATACTGCCATGCTGGGCGCAGAAAGAAATTCAACGTCATAAAATACTATTTACTTCATAAGTAATAGTTGCAACGCAAAATGGGAAATAAACATAACAATGTTTAATAAAGTTTTCATACCTTTACAGAACATGTTGATTGCTCTTGAGAAGTGCTGGGTGAAGTAACTGCAACTTCGGGCAAATTCTTAACTAAATTAGTTTTTGCTTTTTCATTTTTTTGTCCTGCTTCATGAAGCTGGGCAATTTCGTCTGTTTTGCTCATGTCATCAACTGTTTCATTGATTTGTGGAACTGAGTTATTCTCGCTAGCTGGGTCGTCCGATTTCTCTAACACGCTCGACTGCTTAGCGACTGAATCAGACGAGAAATCAGAACTCAGTTGAACATCACACACAATTCCGCTTTCACTACTCATACCTTCTGATGTTTTCGCAGAGTCGAAGGACAAATTAGTAGAACAATTAGCACTAACATCAATATTTTGGGAAATTGATCCAACCTCTGTCAGGAGGTCGGTTATCTTTTGAGAACTATCTGGCATTTTTGCTGCTACACACCCTTCAATATTTTCCAGAACTTGTTCATTGGTATTGTTAAGCTTTTCAATGCCCTGCAAAGAAGTATTGATTTCGGGTGCGAGTTCTGCCTTGTCATTAGTTAGGTTGCTAGTTGATATTTCAAGATTCGAACTGTCGTAAACTGATAGGTGAGGTGAACAAGATTGTATCGAACTGATTTCTGCTGATTCAATCGATTCAACTGTAATACTTGGATCATCTTGATTACTGCAATCAATGGGAGAAGTAGTTTCTAAATTACCACTTCCTGTAAATAAATTAATATTTTAACATTTAGCATTCAGTAAAGTATAAAACAAATTACCTGTATTATAAACAATAATGCTGTCATTAATAAGGGGTAACTCAGAGGATTGATTTACATTAATCTTTGAACCTCCTAACCCAATCCGAATATCTGCTCCGTTCTGATAGAGACGTACACAGTCCTCTCCAAGTAATTCAACTTGAAATAAGGAGCCTGGAATTCAAAAATCACAGTTTATTATTGAATGAACGTCATAGTATCCGTCTTACCTTCCGAATAAATTTCTGAAAACTTTTTATTCGACTCTTCGTCCCATTCCATGCCAGGCAGAGGTTCTAAACAAACATTTTCTCCAAGTATATCTCCAGTTTTCTCAAGATCAAATTTATTCAAAGACTGGAAATTTTTCAAACACCCGTCTTGGGTTACAGGTAATATTTTTGGAACAATATTTTCGGAATTGAGTAATAACTCTACTGTGGTGGTTTCTCCGGAACTAATTTTCTTCAGCTCAAAAATGGTTTGTCCTGAAAATGTAATAAAAGCACGGGTTGAGTTTGCTTCTTAAAGCAAAATAGTTCTATTATTCACACAGATTAATATTGCAGCTAACTTACATACATGTTAGATAAATTGTGTTAAATAATAAAATTATAAAAAATGTTATTAGCAGCTGAAGTGAACTGAAGATTTGACGTAAATATTTAACTTTAATTGGTTTTTATTCGTTTTTGATCATATACCATCCCTTTTAATATTATCTAATTTAATCAACACTTGAATATAACCACTTATTTCTTTAATTGGCTTGAGCTTTAATAAAGCAAATACCCTACACTACAGATGAGCTGAAGCGTAATTTCACAATCACTGTTATAAATGTTAATGTGATTTTTTAAACTGTGAATGTGACTTTACTTGTGGTTGCCGTTTTCGTGATATAGCAGCGTCATAAGGTGCGTCACTTGCAGAATCAATTTAAAAACATTTGTAATTCAATTTTTAAAATAAATAATCTTATTGAGGTGTACAACAAATAATATTTTATACTTAAAGTACAAATGAATTTAAGGACTTTAAAAATACCAGCCTGTGCAACGAGTAACTGGCTATACATTTTCTAAACCTAGCTACTCTAAAAGTTCTAAAAACATTCTGGAAAAAAATAAAAATTTGAACAAAAAACTATTGTTTTACACAAAACGAATACCATATGTAGCTCTAATTCGTTGTGAACAAGCTATATTTGATTTTTTCATTGATTGATTGATTTGATGAATTTTTCTCACTTTTCTCTCATGTGTTGGACGACAAGACGAAATTTTATCAATGTTTTAGAATGTCCATGACGGCGTTTAATCTTTTGGAAAAAAAATCTACAGGAAAAATACGGTACCGAATATTTCCTCACTTATTCAATTAGCCCGTCAGCTTTAATGACTCATTTTTCAAATTTTATTAAAGCCGAAACAAAATGTATCACCTAAAACGAGGACCCAGGAATAGGCACCAAAATCGGCACATGATCGGATACAAAAACGGAGACCGGAGGTAGCGGGAAGGATGTGAACTACGGCGTTCAAAGTATCATTTCTCTCAGATATTCGTCCGATTGTATGATCGGAGTCGGATCGGACAAATGTGTCCCGGCCTTTAAGAGGAAGTTTCTGGGCGTTGCCTGCGAGATAATGGTGCACCGATCCCGGATTCTCAGTTAATACTAACAAAACGGGATCATGCTTTTTGCAAGATGTAAAATAGCTTTATTCGCGGTAGCGATTCAGGACCTGTTCAGAACCGATCCTTGATTCCTTCGTTCCGCGAACGCTTTTAGAACGACATTTTAGTAGTACGAACAGGATTTTAGTTACTTTGCGTCTAACAGTAATTTCCCTAAACTGAAGTGCAATGGTGTGAAAGTGGAGACGAATTTTTTATGATCATGGTTTCACTGCAAAAAGTGGAATTTTTGATTATTTTGAATAAAAATTAAAAAAAAAAATTATTGAGGTTTTTGTCGCATTTATTTAATTAATTCAAAAAATGCCACTGTACAAACGCAAGATCTTACACCTTCTATATTTGACCTGCATTTTTTTGTATCTGCACCTTTTGTCTGTATCCCGTTGCTTAATTCAAATGTATGCCTTTGTTTCCGTTCCCCCGAGTCGAAAAATTGCTAACATATGTAGACAATTCCAAATTTATTTTTACATTGGCGTTCTGATCAAAATTAGTTAATCAAATGTGATATAACATAAAAACTTAATAGTGATTTACAAATAATTATACAATTTTTTTTCTTGATCACCTTCAATGCTTGACCTTAAGCTGAATCAATGGAGCGATAGTTGAAAATAGAAAAATAAGAAAATGGTACTTAGTTTATTTAATTTTTTTTTAAAGACGACGACCTTAATTACCTAATTTTCATCAGAACGCCATTGTAAAAATAAGCTTGGAATTGCCTACATATGTTCGCAATTTTTTTCAAATGACATCTGCAGCATCTAACATTTTAACTATCAGGCTGAATAGACAAATAAAGCCGTAAATTTGAATTCGGAAAAGGAATGCAATAATGTTGCACCCACTGTACCACCAACCGACCAAAAGTCGCCCGAAAACGAAAGTGTCCAGCCTCTGCTAACAAATCAAACCGTGACCCTAGACAATAAACTCACGTGGAGCCCTCACGAAGAGAAAGTTAGGCAAAACGCTTCTGCACTATGTGCCACCTACAAGGAGCGCTGKGRAAAAACTGGGGCCTAAAACCACAAGTTATGAAGTGGTTGTACACTGYCGTTATGAGACGGTAGRAAAGGCGTAYATAACCAAMRGAAACTGGTGGGTCTGCAAAAACTGGCGTTCCTAGCGATGACCGGCTCAATGGGGACACCAAGCATGTCATTAAACATGCTCCTGGGCCTCCCTGAGCTAACCCTGTGGATACGCAGGGAGGCCGCTGCTGCGCTACAGAGGATAGAATGCAGCTCTACAAGGCATCACAAGCATAGCAAGCACATACAAAAATAGGGACCGTCATACGTCGGGATCTTGTCGTCCCAACTGACAGCGGATTCAGGATCAAAAGAAAATTTACGGTAGAAATTCCAACAAAAGAAAGTTGGAATATTCGAACCATGGCTGCCCGAAAGGGGGTGCGGGGTTGGTACACCGACGGCTCACGGGCGCAGTATGGGCAATACCGGACGGTCTGGGGCAGGTGTGTACCGGCAAGATACTAACAGGAGAGCGTCCTTTCCGATGGGAAGCTGGACGACAGTGTTTCAGGCGAAGTTATATTTCCCGGGGTTGCCATAGATACGGAAGTTACAGAAGGACTAGAGGGAGTGATCTAGATCTACTCCGACAGCCAGACTGCCCTCAAGGCACTCTCAAGTGCTGTAGCCAAGTAAGATGGGTGTTTGCCAAGTAAGATGGGCAGTAGACTGATCCAGGATTGCTAGGATGCCCCGAATAAAGTGGCAGAACAAAAACAAGTAAACCTTGCTTTACACACACTAAAATGAGACATTTTTAAGATATGCACCTGGATTTGCTCTACGTGCATTAAAGGCGAAAGTATTGAAAACTAGTAATTTTCATTATTACCGCTAACTTTTAAAATAATATCTTAAGGAAGTACCTTCTGCAGATAATTCAGCAAATTTATCTTGAGCTTCTTTCGTCCAATATGGAATACCATCCGGTTTTTGAAGGCAACATTTTTGCGCTAATGGGGGCGTTACCACAATATCTTCAGGTAATTGCCGAAGACTGTTACTAACGCACGAATTTCCATAATCGATAAATAGTAATTCGATGCCTGAAATACAGTTGGTGCATTGTAGATTAATGTCAAGTGTATATACATGGTAGATTAATGTAAAATTGTACATTACCTGCAATAGTGTTTGACAATATCCTAGCTCTGTACCACATCTCATCATCAGGGAACAGAGCGGCACACAATGCTCCAGGGGACATATCGTCGAGCTCAGAAAATAGCTCCGCTCCCGAAAGCTAAAAGCAAAATGTATAAAGCAAAGTTCAGAATAAATTCCTCTTTTGAAACCAACCTGTTCTGCAATCCATTCCAACTCATTGATGCAGCTTTCCATTTGCACCCAGAACTCTGAAGGCGAATTTAAATGACTTACAAAACATGTTGTTTTGTTTTCTGTAATAATTTCACATGGAACCTAGAATAATATGAACATATCAGATATGCTGCAAAAACAGTGATACCGAAAACTGAAAATAGCGATATGCGAAAAGCGAAAAAATCTCAAGTTAAAACATTTAAACTTATGAATAGTTTTCTCAGGTCAAAGTAATGCAAAATTGCAAAACTTACTGCATAATTATGTGCAAGCAGCTCATCTTTAACGTTCACTCCATTCGAATACAATTCCAAAATAGTCGTTTTTTCATCTTGGGTAAGATACTCTGCTTGTAAATTCGGTTGCAATGCTAGGCTCTCAAACAGTTCCAAAGCTTGCTGACTCCATTCTTCGTCCAATGATTTTAGCTTAAGGCTACATCGAGTTGCGTATACAGCTAACGTTAGCAAATTAGGAGGCAACGTTTTCACTTGTGTCGTTTTATTGTCAATGACATCTGTATTACCAAAATCAACAAATCGGACTGTCGTTATGTCCTCATCTGCATCCAATACTTCAGCTCTGAAACAAACGATATTATCAGACACTTTTAAAAGTATTTGCAATTCGAGATTAAAAATGTATATAATAACGTTTTTCGTAACTAATAATATAAATAATCCCAAAAATAAAGATTAATTGAAAATATGACTTTACATAATACAATAAATTTCAATAACTGTCCAGATAAGCATAATAATTTCCAATTTCCTAACTTGACGCCAACTTTTAACGTTTCTAATAAAAGTTTTTTTTTCGATATAGTTTTAAATGAAAATTATCAACAGAAAATATATCTAAACGAGACTAATCAATAGACATACCTATACCACAAACCATCAACGCTGTATGGAGCAGCACATAAAATGCCGACTGAAGCATTTTCCAAAGCTGGCATCTCGTCTACTTGCGCTTGTAATAGCTCTTGTAACTCATCAATAGCTGATTTTGATTCGCCAAATTGGACGTAAAACTCGGTAGGAGTGTCTATATGACTCACATGAATTGATGTGCCATTTAATGGAGTTGATACTACTGAAACGTATTTAGTGCATAAATTTAAATGAGATACGTTAACAGATAAGAGAAAAACAGTATTCTACTAGAATGTATGAGACAAAATATTTTATTCAGGAGTTCATACATACTTAACGTAGATATGTTCGTTGTTATAGTACTAATATTTAGTATTTTTATTAAAAGTATTTTATTTAAACTATGTTAATTAATCAGAAACATTTAGCATAAAATAAAAGAAAATAATTGTAAAAGTGAATAACTATTTCACCAACTACATTTGTTTTTTGGTTTACATTACATCAAAAATGGAAATCTCTGCCGTCTACACTGAAGACATCAGTCCGAGAGTGACAGGTGACAGTAACCGAGTGTGGCAATCAATCTATTTCCGAGACACTTTCGTTTATCTACCTATATAGCGGATCAAACATGCGCTTTATGTCTTAGGTATTCAATAAACTTATTGTAAACGTAGTCTATATATTCCTAAACCAACCAATATAAATAGTAGTAGCAGTAGTAAAAAACAGTATTTCTTAAGGAAAGGCTATCGACCTATCGCTCTTTCTGCCCTGTTACTTGCAAAGTTCTGTATGGGAAATTAATAAGTATTGTATACAATGTAATTAATCAGTGTGTTTATARTTTATATTTGGAGGTACTCCAATAATGTTGAGGTAGGTTAGAGAAAACGCGTGTGTCAGGTCGGCCTTGTTAAACAGAGAAGGTCCAATTGTAAGGGTTGTGTTTCCATCTTGATTGTAGATGAGTAGTCTTTCAGTAATCCTTGTCAAGTTTGTGCGTTCGTAGAGTAATCGGTTTGGTGGATTGTGCAATGGGTTTGCTGGGTGTCTGATCTTTGTTCAGTCTCAGTGCTATCTGTTCAGCTGTCTGTATATGCCGTTTAGTTTTATCAGTAGCTTTCGCGATTAAAATATGAGCGTAACTATTAGTGGTCTGCAGATCGCTTTATATATTATGGTTGCTGTCTTGGTACTGATACTCTTGTTTTTGTAAGTAAGAGTGCGGAAGTGCTTTGTTCTCTTAGTTAGTTCGGTTCTGATGTTTTGTGCGTGTTTAGTTAATTTTAGTTTATAGTCCTATTTGTGTAGACTTGCTTCCTTAGAATGTTTTGCTCTATGTGTGGGTGAATAAACTATGTTGGAACGTGGGTGAAAAAAAAGAACATATCCACTTCAACATAAATAGGATCTCAAAAATCTCAATTATGAATTGTGCTCGAACTAGTAGCTTCTACTAACGTTAAATCGTACTAGCAATGGTCCAGGCTTCTAATTGCTAATCGAATTTCGTTCAGAGTTCTCGCGTTATCGGGTAAAAAAATTAAAAATATGCAAAAATGGTTTCTTTTCAGTTTGAATTCATGCTGACAAATGGTTTACCATCTAATTTTAATTCCAAGTTATTTAGAAAAAAGGGTTGTCATAAGCACACATCAATCAACATTAATATCATACAAGGTGATAAATTACAACATGCAAAGTTGACATTTGAAATACAATGTTTTCGATATATTATAGTTATTAAGCATAATAATACAGGAAAAATACAGGGTGATTCAAAATTGGCGTCATTCCTTTTAAGGGGTGATAGAGGCTCCCTTGGGGAGTACGCGAAAAATATT